TCAAAATTAAATTTATAGCATTGATCATAGGTGATCTCGGTGAGAATTGAAAAATATTCAAATTTGTACCCCTGAACTTGATAATAATTCATGATCCTATAGTAAAGCAATAAAGAAATTGGAATGAATTGACGAAAGAAAGTAGCTACTGGTCCGAGTTGCTGAGGACGGCGTCGGCGTCGGCGTCGGATTCGGTGTCGACGTAACTGCGAAAATTTGCGCTCGCCTACCCCAGCGTTACTATAAATCAGTTGAAATTTGTTATGCGCGGCACGCAGATGGTTTTGTTATATGAAAATATGTGCCGCGTAGGGATGGTATAAGTATCCCTCGGTAAAACACATCCCTTATACCCCACACCAGCGTCCAACTCGTCTCGCCCCGCTCCTTACCCCAGACAGGCCCGAGGCGTCATGCTGTTCTGCGCTCTCTTTAATTACGCCCCGAAACCGGGACGCGTGACGTATTGCCGTATGCTGAAAGGGACAAAAAAGGCAACCTCTACCTTGAACCGGCCGCGTTGAACCGTGCTGGAAACGTTAATCGAAGCAGAAATCACGGCTGCACCTTGCGATAGAAGAAAATGACGTTTGAAGGGGTTGCGTGGAGGATAAGTTTTTTGGAGCTAGTTATGAGTTTGCGTTTCATAGAAAAAGGGTATTCGCTTTGAAACTAGCTAAAAACAAAGTTCTTCAGGTTCTAATTCTTTGACCCAGAATTTAGATTCTTCAAAATATTCTAGGTATCATTTTCATGTCACTAGAAATTAAAAAGTTGACCAGTAAATCTGAAATTTTAATAATATAAAACTAAAATCCTTAAATACAGGAACACTTTTCCCCAACAATCTCATAAATCTTGATCAACGACTAACATCCTCTTCTGTATCAAAGAGGCTTCAGGGCACAATCCCGATTGCTCCGTTCCTTTCTCAAATTACCCTCGCTACGGAAGAGTTGAACAGGAGCTACGGGGGTCAGTTTACAAGGGGTAACGTCGAGACCGTTGTATCCGGTGTTACGAACACTTAAAACTTGAAAAATAAGAAAGTATATTTCTCACTTAGAGCCAACTGGAAACTCGATGGAACGGTAGGACGATGTAAAGCGCTTCTTGCACACGAGAAACAGGGTCCGGCAACGATGGAGGAGCCACTTAAAGCGTTGGCCCTGGCAGCGTTAAATATTTGATCAGAATTCGATTGCTTTAAGACGTCAGACTACGGGCGAGGGTGCGGCCGGTGAGCGAGCCATAGTAAAAGAAAGGGAAGAAGAGCGAAACGGTTGACGTAAGGGAGGATACTTAGCAAAGGGACGAGGTTATTCCCCGGAGCCGAACGTTCGAACGATGTCCAACCGGCCAGCTGTCCAAGTCACAGCGTTCTTTCTCTGCTTTGTACTAATGCCAGGACACGAGTACGCTTTAAAATCCACCCCTCGCCCTTTGCCAAGGAACCGGTGGACAGAAAACAACTATAGCATCGCTGGATCCCTTTGTTAATATAGCCAATTCGTTAGGTTTCTCGAACAGGAATCATCTTGAGGAGAATACCATCGTCGATGGTCGGACAATGGTGCACTGGTCCTGCTTTATTGAAGAAGGGTTTTCGACGTTCTTCGCGTGCCTTAGAGTCTCTGAATTCGTAATTAATATTTTAGAATCTACCGAAGAATCGATGGGTAATTTAATTAATAAATCAACATAGGGTGCAATTATGAAAAATTAAAAATTACACTAATGTATCGATGTACGATGTACAACCTTAATTTTGCAACGGAAGATTTATAAATGAAGGTGTTTCTATTATTCGGCGTGTTTTCATTGAACGTTTAAGAATGCCAGGGGTAAATGGAAGAGTCTGAGTCGCAAAACTCACGCGAATCCACGTGGTGCCAAGTGGGGTGCATTAGCCAAGTTCCCCATTATCCACGCGTGAGAGACCCCTAAATTATCCGGCATTCGCCTAGCGCCGACCTCTTCCACCCTTGAACGTCGGCGAGAAAAAGATGTACGAGTTCCTTACGCGAGAACACCCTCGGCGGCTGCTCGGAGGTGCGACCAAAATAATTCTGATTCTTTAGTGCCGCCTGGTGTTTTATCCCAAATGTAAAAATTATTGCTTTTAATGTCAATATCGGTCCAGTGCGATCGTTTTGTCAGAAATCTGAAGACAGACTTAACCTCCGATAGGGCCGCTAAGAGTACCGTGATCCGACGGTGGTTTATCTAATTGGAATTGTCGAGGGCTCGAAGAAGGACCAAGAACAACCGGAATCAACGAGGAAAGATGATAACAAAGAGAGAGAGAGAGAGAGAGAGAGAGAAGGTGGAAAGAGAAAGTGTATATGAACGATAGAGAGAGATAGTACCTAAAGAAGCATCGGTAAGACGGGGGTGTGTAAGTTTGGGCTATCTCTGAGAGCACAGTTCCAAGAAGGCTCCTTTAGACTCTAGTGACGTGATGTCGCCTAATCCCTTCAATGGAGGCACCATCGTCCGCTCTACAGCTTCGTGTTTCTGGGTAACCACTGCCTTCGCTACGAACGGTACTTGCTAATTAATTGACGAATACAGATTTTGAGGTGTCGAGAATCTTTATGTCTATGGTTAGAAAAGGAACTATTATCTTTCGGTACAGGATGAATATAGTCTTTAATACAAATTAATAGATAGGAGATTCATTTTTAATTTGAAAGGTACTCTGCAACGGTACAGAAATATTTCTCTCAAGTATAATGGTAACACTGAGACAATGGGTACAAATGTTTAAATCTTATAAAAGCATATTGCTGTTCGTCAGAGTGAAGTCACTTTTTTCTTTTAATTAGAATTGTTTCTGAAAAATGGAACTAGTTGTCTGCGAGTAGCGCAGAGACTTTAACAGCGGACGTGACATTTTCCTTGGACACGAAAACGAAACCAATCTTTACGCGAAACGCAGGGATGTAGGTACTCGTCCAGGAGAAGGGCTGCTTTCTAATTATTCCCCACAGGCCATAAGGGATGACACGTAATTGGAGGGTGGACGAGGAAGCATTGATCCCTAACTGGAAGGGATTCAGTCTCTTCCTTGCTCCGCATCGGGCAGCTTTCTCTCTTTCTCTCATCCGTTAGCCGGAGAACTCTCGAGTACCGAGTACTGGACCAGTGAGCATGGTCCGGCAAAGAAAAGTGATAATGTCTTAAGCCGTCGGTGCGATTTAACTTCCGATTTCAGTCGAAGAGGGCACATTCTCTTCCAGCTATCCCTTTCTAAGGGTTCGTTGCTCTAAACTCTGAACTGCCGTGGTCTGAGGAGGGGTTTAGGATTTAAGGAAAGCCCTCTCACTCCCGAGATCCTTGGAAGCTCTGCTAAGCGCTGACGCTGATCCTGCTCTTCTTCTTCTTCCTATACCACCTCTTGGAACCTGGGTTTATCTAATTCGACTTGTAGCTTCCTGCTATCGCTGTAAACCGTACGAGCAGACCAAGGAACGGCTGTCTGCCGATTGAAAATACGTTTTAGCGCGATCGTTTACAATAAAGGATATTTATCTAGCTAAATCCGGCAAAGAACGTACGTTCTACCTTTTGTTAGAACAAAAATATTATGTTCCAAGCAAATTAACATGTGAAACACTGATTATCTCAATCATTCTCGCGTAAGCACTAATAACGATATATTCTTATCAGTCCAGGAATTTAAAAGTAACTTTGTACAATAATCAGCGAGAATTTAGACAACAATCAGCGAGAGATCAGCCTAGGTACATGCGAAACTCGTTCAGTTCGATGTAATCACGAGGCCGACGGAAATGTAACGCGTTACAGCCCAGGAATGAATATAAAGAGAGGACGATCGCAAAGCGTCAGCGCGTTTTCTCGTGTTGGTCCTAATTGAATTTGACGATGCTCGTTACGCGAGTCACTTCTGGAGGCAGAATGCAAAAAGAAAAAAGAAAGGAGGAAAAAGTCGGAGGTCTCTGGCCGGGGACCAGGGTAGCCGGGACTCTTAAGGCAGCAAAGAGAAGCAGGTAACAGAGAGGTACACGTAGGTAGAGGATGGAAAGGGGGTAGTGGAAGTTAAGATGTGGGTGAATGTAAGGGATGGTGCACGTAGCCCAACACACTGAACCAACTTGGTGTGCATCCAGGGGCCGAGTCCCCCCCCCCCCCCCCTTCTTTCCGTTATCGCAGGGGGTGGTGAGGTGAGTAAGGGGATGTGCTGAGAGGCCGGGAATCGCGTTCCAGCTAAGCTGAAAGGGGTGGACAGTGCGCAGAACCCGCCCCCACTTTTCGCGGCGAAGCAGAAGCTGCCGGTTGCTCGCGCAAGCTTTCATCCCCTCCCGTGTATTCTGGAAGATCGCCACCCCCGAACGAGCTTAAACATATCACAGTAGCTCGCGAGCACCCTGCGTGGAAGGGCTATCCGCGCCACTTTGTGCCACGCAAAGGTACCTCTATACACGTATCGCAGGCTCGGCTCGAGCACGCGTGACTGGTGCGTGAACACGCGCGCGCGCGCGTGCGTGTCGCATCGAGTGCGTGCACGATCGTGTAGAGACAATAGTACCGTGCCGGCGATACTGAGAATCTAGGATAAAAATTACCTACGACGCAGTGTGTTCGATCGAAGGAAACGATCGGCTAGCATTTGTTCATCTGGAGAACGGAGAAGTCCCGTGTGGATGGAACGGGTCACAGGATTCGGGGCGATGCCCTCGACAGGCCTGCACCGGTTTCAGGTGAAATTTCTTGACAGACGAGAATTTCTGTAGGCTTTGAATCGAACGGTTCACGAGAAAACGAACGATAGATCTCGTCGAGAGGATGAGACGTGCGGTCTGAATAGTTTGGAACTGACAGAGCTTCTGATCCCCAGCTTCTCGGAGTATTGGTTCGGTTAGATTCTGAGCGGCCTCGAGCTAAAAAGCTTGCACTCATTGATCAAACTCCACCGTGCATCCATGCATCCGACGAGAGAGCAGATTTCCTGATCCTCTGGAATTTTTGTGTTCCAGGGTGGAACTGACCAGCGTGCCAGGTGGCCAGAATGCGATGGCTCATCTCAAAAAACGGAAGCTGGAAGCAGAATCTGTCAGCCCAAATCCTAAGCAACTGCAGCAACTGCAACAACAACAACAACAACAGCAGCAGCAGCAGCAGCAGCAGCACTATCAACAACAGCAACCGTTGATCAACAAGAAGGCTGCACAAACGAGCATTCCTCAAGAAATGGAGACAGCTGATGCTGCTGCTAAGCGAAGGAGGAAAAGCGTACGCGACGATGAGACAAGAAAATCACTCGATGCCAATGACACTAGCAAAACTATACCGTTGCCACAAAAGAAACGAGCATTCGCTGCTGGGAACTCTGGTAGCCCGGCGAGAAAATCCAGCAAGCATTCCGAGGAACCCGAAGACGACGAGACTCTCATTAGAGAAACGGAGGCTGCTTTGAAAAGTTTATCCGGAAGCTGGCCTGGGCCTAGGGGCTGTTTGTATCAACGAGGAAACTCGGACGAAGATAAGTACGAATCGAATTTCGAGAATCTATTCGAAGAGAAAAAAGACAATCCAAAACTGTCACCTTCCTCTGTGTCAACATCTTCAACTACCAGTAACGAGACGGGTTATTCTCTAAAAGACGTGATAACATTCCGTGGACAGCAAGACCGTAGCGGCAAGTCTCAGCAACAATTAAAGCAACACGATGCGATTAAGCAATTACAGCATCAAAGCAAAGTGAAAAAGGATCTGGATACCGTGTTGAGAACAGAAAACGAGTGCGGCAACATTCAAAGCCAAGTGAACAATGTGAACCCTAATGAACCAGGAAAAATTAGACCGGTGTCTGTGAGATCCCTGTCGAGCAAGGAGCGAAACGACAGAAGCATGGTCGGTACTCACGTGGATCCCCAGGGACGACAAACAGATAAATATTCCAGATACGATCCGCCAGACTTCAATGAACTGGTAGACGATTCGTCGAACGAACTCGAGATCGACATGTCTGATCCAACCGCGGAGAAGGACGACGCTGACAGAGATAAGATGAACGACAGAGATCGTGATCGAACGTGCAGGAACGGACAATCGCCTCAGAATTCAGCGAGGCAGCAACACCATCAGCATCAACAAATGTATTCGAACTATCATAGACAGTACAATGAGAACGGTATGAAGGTATCGCCGAACGCGACGACCAGCTCCTCTTCTTCGCCGCCGTCGAATTCTCCGTTCTCGGCCACGTCGGCATTCAGGCCACCTAACACGGACCACGCGAAAGCTACTGGCCGCGGTACACCGTCAGTGGCGGTGGCTTCCACAGCGATTCCACCTATCGGACCGTACCCTGCCTCGGCCACGTTTGTTGGCTACCCCACCGCTGGTCCTGGGCCAACGATGCCGACCCCGCAACCTGTTACGGGCATATCGACCAGCACCGAGGACAAGCATTCGTCGACGGTTTCGCTGTTGCAGTTGAAATCGTCGAAAGAGGACGCCCATCACGTGGCCAGACACGAGGTGACACCCAACACTGTGACAAGCAGCAAAAGTCCCAGCGGTGGCCTTCCCGCCGTCACTAGCCCCGACTCCTCGAAACAATATACGATCCTTCAGCCAGCAGGTGTTGGCTCCAGAGCTGCCAGTGCCCTTCAGGACATAGCCAGGGACGGAGTGGTCAGTGTAACTGCTGTCAGCAGTTGTAGCACGAGTAGCTCGACGAATGGGAACAACAACGGTAGCGGTAGCGGTAGCAACAACGGTGCTGCTGCTAATTGCAGCAACAACGTGTCCAGTAATAAAAATAGCAACACCAGCAATAGTGGTAACGGTAGCGGTAACAGCAATAATGCTGCCAATGGAAACGGTACCAATGTGACCAGCATCGCTATCACGGCTGTCTCGACCAGCACGACAACGTCCAGCCCCACGACTGGCGGAGACGTGTCATCTGGAACTGGAACGGCTCAGCAAGAGAATGTGATGAAAATACCGGAAAGGCCTGGCACCTTTGATGGGAGCAGGCCAGGAATGTCCATGTCTCCGTCCAGTCTAAGCAGAGGTGAGAATTTCGATGTCTAGTAGCACGACTACTCTGAATACTTTGGGATTGGGAATTTATGATATTTTATTTATACTGATTTCTTGGCTATATATCTTTGCCGTTTCACGCCGAGATTTCAACGACAGCAAATACGAGTCGTTCGTGTTGCTTTCGCACTTTCTTCAGCGTTTCATCGGATGCTAATGCATTCTAGCGCTCGAGAAACTCAGGGAATCATTGATAAGACTAATGCTCGCAACGGTAGGGTTACTTTTCGTACGTTATCCGGTTGTAAAAGGGGGACAAAAGGCATTTTCGACTCTCCCGCGTGCTTTACTCTTCTCCTGCTCCATCTGTATCTCTCTCTCTCTCTCTCTCTCTCTCGCTCTCTCCTACTTTCTCTATGAAGTTAGGGGAGTTAGGGTAGCACGGAAAATCAATAATTACGAAGCGAGGGGCGATGACTCAAATGGTGAAATCAAGGTCTCTCAAAGTAAAGTTATTCTCCGTATTCTACGCTACAGCCACTTTGTCTTCGTCCTCGGCGCAGCTTCGAAACTATTCGCTTGATCATGGGAACCTCGCGATAATCGTAAAGACACGCGGGTAAACTTGCATCTATCAGACGTGTTCGAGCACAATGTCCTTACGATGTATGTTGTTCGAGTCATCGGACACCTGTTTTGCAACCCTTTTATCAATGCTTCTTTTTTAACTTGTCATAATTATTAATAATTAAAATATGGTGAAATTAACTATCGAACAACGAATGACAGGTCAATTTGGACTTAGGATAACAAAATGTAAATAAGAATGCTTCGATTAGAATTAGGCAATTAAATTTTTATTAATAATAGAAATTGAAGACAGATAAGACATAAATATCTGAACAGATTTGCTTGATTGAATGAGAATGTAACAGAGATCAATCAACGGTAGCGATCGGTATTGGCAAAAGAATGAAAGAAAATTCCCCGTGTGACGGCGGGTTGGTATTTCATGGTGTGACAGGTGGGAGTTCGAGTGCATTCCAGGGTCTCAGGGCAGCGATGACACGATGTGCCTAGGCGGGGAAATTTGAGGTTGATACCACGTCATACGTATAAGCCGCAGCTGTCAGCAGCTAGAAACGTGACTAGCATCCCAGCCAAACCACGCTACCTTATTACCACCATGCGGCTCTGCTGCCTGTTCTCATTATCCCCTTAGCGTTTTCTCCGCTTCAAGCTGCGGGGACGAACAGCTTCAAAAATTCAATCTTCCTCGTTTCGTGTTCTGTGCTAAATCGATAAAGATAGGTTGATGAGATAGCTGTTTGATCGTTGTTTGGTAACATTTAATGATAAACGAATTTAAAATCTTCAACATTTCAACCTGCTTTGGAAGATCTTTATAAATTGTTCCATAATAGAATTTTGTTAAATTATTCAAACATTTAAATAATTAACTAAGAATATACTTATAAAATAAAAATAAACCAATCGACGGAAAATCATTTGACGGAAAAGTTCGTGCAAACAAAAGCTTCCGCGTCGTGTTCGCGTCCAAGAAGTTTCACCGCCGCCTGTCAATCTCGTACGGTCGATTATTAAAAGATCTCGGAGTCGAGATAGTCGGCACAGTCCACCTCCATGGAAATCTTGGCGAATAAACGCGGTGCCGTGATAAGTGGGCACGATTAATCGCATACTTACAAGCGTGACGGTGGCAAAGGCGTGCCGGTCTCGGGTCGCGCTATACTTTTTAATCGCGGGCTCATTCGGCCGCGCTATTCGCGCCGCTTGTTCCTGATCCTTTCGATTTAGAGAGAGGTTCGCGTGCTCCTCGTTCCTTCCTTCCTTCTTCAATCCTTTTTTATTCAACGCAGCGTCAACGTAGCGGCCGTCGGGTAAGAGCGTGTTGACACGCCATAAAACCGCTATCGGGAAATCCGTCGGCCGCAAAAACCACCCTTTCCGCGTTGAAACCGCGCGCGGTAGGCAAGCAGGGTTTGCCTGGCTAATAAAAAAATAAACTGCCCTGTAACTCAATTTTACGCTGCCTTTGCGACCGCACGCATAAAAAGGACCTTTGCTCGCGCGCTGGGGCTTCTACCCTCGCGTTAATGGCGCACGCCGCCGTGTGTAAATACCTGCCTTGCGATTGTACCCCCGGCTCTCTTCTCTTTTTTTAGAATCCTACGTCTTCTGTTCTGCGCTCTACGCACGGCCAAGTCGACGAAGAAATCGCGATCGTCTTGAGTAATTACTTTATTCGCGCCTCTTTAAAGATCCTTTTGATGAGCAACATTGTTTTAGATTTTCTTGTCTACAGGTGCATTTTATATTTGAACATAGGAAAGTGTGTTAACATGTTGACACCTACTGTGAAAATAATTTAGCATAATATATACACAACATTATGAATTATTAAAAATTTATTTCAAATTGTTAATATTTTTCTTAAACTACATATTTCATATCGTTATCTCCTATGATAGTTCATGTGCTAAAGATTAATAGGCTCAAAGATATTTTCCTTACACAGACACTTTTCCCCAACGAGAAAAGAGATTATATCGAAGGACGCAGATATCGGGTGATTAAAATAGGTCCACGTCTATTTATTTGCTTCATCCGTACGTGGATATTTAAATTTGTCCATCGATTGATTACCAAGATAATAGCTCGATAATAGGATTTTCGATTTCATCGCGTGTACATGATCGCAAAAGAAGGGAGACAGGGCGATCAAAAAAAAAAAAAAAAAAGAAAATGAGAAGAAGAAAGGAAAATGTGGTGCGCGGGCCGAATGAATAAAACAATCCTGGTGTTTATGTACACCTCTGGCCTTCCCGTGGTGACCCTCACGTGAAATGGCAACAAAATAACACAATTACACACTCGGCCACGGCCTCACCCTCGCTGCCCGCTACTCATCCTCGTTCTCACCCCTTGGATCCGCTCTTTCCTCTTTTCCCTCTGACCCTCCGGCAGGGGATCCCGTAGGAAAAAAGACGGGGATAGAACGGGTGGCAAGGAAAAGGGAAAAGGGAGAAGAAAGGTCTGACCGACTCGTTACAAGTCTATTCAGAGATCCGGAAAGAACAGCGCGTGCCGGTATTCATTTTGTTGACCGGAACCATTATCTGCCCCTTCGTTCCTATCTTTCCTCTCTCTCGCGCTCTCGTCATCTTTCATTTTCTCTCTTTCCCGTCGCGCTTAGGCATCGGCCAGCCGTTTTAAAACCTTACGGCTAATTTATTAATCCTGCCGGCGGCCAACCGCTCACCCTCACTTAGCCGGCTCACCGTTTTTTTTTACCTTGCCGCTAATTAAAAAACACGGAATCCCGGCCTGGTTCCTATACCGACCTCGGCAACTGTTCATTATCTCTTCCTTCATTAGCTGAATGTGCTATCGGTACGTTATCGATACACTGACCGCCTTTAAAATCGAATGAACATGGGGATTGCTGGAATGAAATTATTTTAATTACGAATAACCTTCCCGTTCACGATTCGGAAATCAGATTTGCACGTTTTTCATTCTATTAATAGCCGGTTGGCACGGATTCCCGCGATATCAGCTCGGTGTTTCGCGAATAAAGTATGCCACTAATCACGTCACGTATCGTAATCCAATTTACCAGGAAGCTAGACCAGACGAGACTAGAGGAGAAGGCGAGCATCTAAACAGGGATCGACTCGGTCCCCTTCTTACTCTTTCTTGCCGGAACGCGAAATGACGGGCTGATGAAGTTTCTCGGCATCGTGGCGGCCATTTCGAGGGGGGTCGGGCGTAGTTGGATAGAGGGATCAGGACCAACGAAGGATTAGTACACGACAAAGTTTATAAAAGTGCGCTCACTCCAAGGGAAAAGGCCGCAACTAACCCAAAGCCTGCCTCCCCTCAAGCTTCCTTCGGAATCCCTTTCCGAACCCCTCCAACACACGTGACGAACGTACCTATGGTCCATCAGAACGAAGCTTTTCGCGTTAAGAAACGTCGAATTGACCACCCCCTGAGCTCGAGGGACGAAATGAGTTAATACGTAAGATAGAGGTCGTGATCCCGCTAAACTCGTCTGGAACGGATTACCCCTGCGAATCTTGGAGGCTGACTAAACGGGTTCGACGAAGTGTTGACCGAATGAATTTCATTTCAAGTTATCTCCAAAGATTAGAAGGAAATTTAATTAATTCCCATGAGTAAAAAGTTGTTCGAATCTTCACCGGCGCTGGGAACAAAGGATCCGTATAGATGGTCCTTATCCTAAGCTATTGGTACTTCTGGACTGTATAGAGCGTATACTGGAAACCTGTAATTGTCTGGTCACGCGAGGTCACCCTGAGAACACGAACACGAGCGCGATTATACGTGACGTACACCATACCAGCCATTAAGTTACAGCCAGTACACGACAGATGGTACAGGTTGCTCGAGCATGCCCCGATGCAATTTCGTGACAGCCCTAAGAAAAGCGAGAATTAAGGGGAAAAAATTGCAGAAAAGAGTGTAGAGAAAGTTTATGGACGTGAGTTTTATCGTTGGCACGTTGCTCCTAGATACTAAGGGTCATTTAATGTTCAATTAAATATGTGCCGTCTTTTATGTACAGTTGTCTGTCAACTCTCGAACAGACTATTAAACAGCACATCGAGTATCTAATAGAGGGTCAATTTTGAATTACGATGAAATTTCATTCGATTAATTTAATTATAAATTTAAGATCAATGGTGGTTTTTGTAATATCATAAATGTTTTTACTATGCATAATTGTCATTTAAGAGATTGACACCCTCGTTCCTTGATAAAACGGTAATGAAGCAGCCGTGCTCGTTTCACGAACAACCAGGTTTCAGGTTGAATGTATACACAGTGTTAATCCCCAGGGCTTAGGTATGGGACAGAGAAATCCCAGTGGTTACTCGCAAATGCGTAACTTGCGCGACAAGATCCACACTAGGCCACATTAGGCCACAGCTTGTCCGTTTTCATTTAGAGCTTCTAATTAACGCTTTAAAATGTTATACCGTCTCGTACTACTTAAAGAGCAAACGAGTTGAAGAAACACTTTATCTCGTTATACTATATGCTTATTCAGTGATTTCTCTGACAAGAGTTCGGCATTTTACAAAATTTTATTATTCCAAAAATTGTTTTCCAAAAATTTTGAAAAGGAACCCATTTAGAAATAGAAATGTCACGAGTTAGAGGGGTAATTCCTTTTCTTTTTTCATGAATTTCTTAGAATCCTTTTCTTTTTTCTGTTTATTCTTAGAATAATAATCGGATATACACTGAAATTATATCAGTATCAAGCAATAAACTGTCGGTTTATTTGCCAGTAGGTTCAACGATCAGAGCAAGGAACATATAAAATGTACATGAATATTGGCAAACTGGAAATACATTGCATTCTGTGTTGCGTATTGAAAGTATACCACGTTGTCGGACGTACATAGCACTTGTCATCCATTCGATAGTTAATTTTCATTCAATTCCATGCATCGTCGCTGCTACTCTGAAAGAATCTCGGCCGTCGGGCTTTTTACTATTCTCTATATTTTTCTGTTCCCAGATTCTCGTCCCACTCGTTATGAATATCATTTTTATCAATCTGATTTCATTTTAGAAATTATCCAGGGATTTGTAATTTATGTAAATTAATTGCATGTGAAATATTATTATAGGATTAATAAATACGTAATAATTTTTGTAATAACTGTAACAGAAGTAAACTGATATTATTTGACTGTATTTAGCTTAAAATATTTTTACTAATAGAGAAATTATCAGGGCACAAATGTTGAGAGGAAATTCCATTTTTCATGTACACGAATACTGTGCACTGTCACCATTCTGTCTCTACATAAAATATTGATTCCATGGATTCGTTCGACAGCCAATATCAGAATGCAAATCCACTGTCTCCGCATTACAAAACGCAAGCAGAGGAACAATATTTTCCATCTACCGCAACATTGTCACGCTTTGGTTCCAGTTTCAGCCAATATTCCGACCGTGTGAACGCACAATTTATCCACAATCAAACGTGCTTGTTGCGATCATGAAATTCAACAGGGTTGGTCCATACGAAGAACGAGTAACATTTTCCTGTTATATCATAATTACGCGATTGTAATAGGCGGCATTAATTAATGAGCACAGTTCAATTGATTTGGTGTCAATTGATTTCTAATGAAATTATTAAAATTTTCTATCGTACTAACGATAGAAAATAAAAGTACGCTTCGGTTGATGTATAGCAAAGTATACAATTCCAAAAAGATTGTTTAGAATGGAATAAACTTTAACCCATTTATTATTATAAAAAATTTATTTTGATTAATCTTTATAAAATATTGCGTTTATGATATCTCTATGAGGTATAATATTGCTAATGATGACGAATTGTACAAAAGCTGACCGTTTGCCACGGTTTAATTTGTTACAGAGGGCAACAAGTGCCCGACCCCAGGGTGTACGGGGCAGGGTCACGTGACCGGACTCTACTCTCACCACCGCAGGTAAGCAATTATCGGTAATTAACCTGTGCTCTGCACTTTGCCATGGTCAATTAGACGGCTAGTTGGTACGACAGCTTGATGGAGAACAGTGCCACTGACACTAGAACGAGGGCAAATCTCATCATTTTTACTTCCATGATTTAATTTTATTGATTTACTAATTCTTATATATATATTTTTTTTTTTAAGAACAATCAAAATACTTTCCAATTTTGAACTAAGAATTTTTGAAATATTGTTCAATTTATTAAAACTTTTAAACAGAATCTTATAGTAAAATATTAATTTCTCGATTAAATAAATTTATTTCTCGAATATTATATATATTTCCATAATTTGTTAGAAGTAATTTTTATCAATACTTCAATACTGTGATTTCAGCTTATCCGGTTGTCCAAGGAAAGATAAACTAACGCCAGAGAGTAAGTACTCACCAATACCATTCTCACTTCTTATCGTAGTTAAATAGATGCATCTTCTTTTTGCGAAATTGCCTTTTTCACGCGACGGGGCAAGGGAGTGACGAGTGTGAACGAGCGAATGTACTTATTTTCCACGTTAGCACGTTTCCTATAATCAGCCACGATCTTTGATTATTGAAACACTAAGAACTTTCAATTGAAATCAATCTCTGCTTGCATTTGCGAAAACTTCAGTTGCACAAATGAGATCTACACAATAAAATTCTTTCGCGATAGGATAAAATTAATGAAAAGAAAAAAAAAAGACAACGTAACTTAAGCTTTGAATATTTAATATTTGACTAAAGTGTGGGCTCGTTGAACCGCGCCCGTCTATGTGTGTCTATGTGTCTGTCTGTTTTTATATTCTTTGTGCTTTTCGTTTGCGGGGTAGAGAGCTTTATTTATTGCGTTCACTTACGTTTTGAATTTACCGTTCTGTTCTGTAGTTCATTATAAGTAGAAAATAAATCACCACACTTGAACTTGGTTACGTTGGCCCTGCCTACGAACATCTGGAGAACTCGAGACACGGGCGGTTGCGACCCACCCGAACTATGCGTATGCGCACACACCAGAATCGAACGGAGGATTTTGTGCGATTGAGTATAATTAAACGGCGATCACACGCTCCTGTGACACGGTTTCCCTAACAAACCACGCTCGTCGCGCGTCGACGAACCTTCCAAAGCCGCGTTTAGATCAAACGAACATACACCAAAAGCGGGAGCATTCAGTCATGGTTGTTTCGTACGTACAGCAAGAATGTTTGATTTTTGTCGGAATAACATTCGCTTGGTCTAAACGCGGCTCAAGACAGGCAAGCTCCTTCTAACACGATCCAAATAGAGAAAGGTATACTGTTTAGAAATTTTTAATTCAGTAAAGATAAAAATTATAGCTTCGAAAGTCATCAATTTTCCCTTTGAAGAATAATTAATTTTGAAAAGTCATAGTTAGAATAGTGTACAGTGTCTGATAAAGAAGCAATCATCTATCCAGCACACACAACACACGACACACGAATCGCAAGTTGTTGTCTTATAATTTTTCACTGGATTAATTATGTCTTTACTTGAGTTTCTCTCTACCCGCTCGGTATACTTGATTGTACTATTACACATTTATTTTGTATATTTCATCCCGTGACGTTGTGTACCCCATTTTTCTTTCTCTCTATTCCTTTATTTTCTCTTTCATTTTCTCCTCTCTCTCTCTCTCTCTTTCTCTCTCTCTCTCTGTTTCTCTGTATATATACTACTATACACGACACCTTTCTTTCGGTGTTAATCGTCGACGCGAGCAACGACGATAATTATACTCAACGCATAAGAAGGAGGCCGTAATTAATATCTGAATCCTGCCGTCCCTCTGGTGTGCGTGTATGTGTGGACTGACGATTGTGCAGATTTTTGAGCAATTCGAACGACTAGCGTTCTGTAACCACGCCACGTGTCTCTGGGTTCTCACAGTTCTGGCGATGCATGAGACTATTTTGAAATGCCCGACGCCTGGTTGCAACGGCCGTGGCCATGTCAGCTCGAATCGGAGCACGCACAGGAGCCTGTCCGGATGTCCCATTGCCGCGGCCAATAAGCAGGCCGCACGCGAGGCACGACACAAGGCTCAAGGTAAGGCGGCATAGCAGCCCTTCCCAACGTGCCTGGAATTCGTCCTACGTGAAAATCCACGCGCCTAACTAGCCCGTGAAATCAGAACGGGGCTTAAGCTTTTTCCAACGACGCGAAAGTAATCCTCTTGCGTGTTCACGCGAGATCGATCGCCTTGCTTTTATTGCTTTCGCGCTGGGGGGTACTCGCAGTCGATACCGATAACTATTCGAATTATTGTAAACGTGTCAATTGTGGTTACAACAATATGATTACAGAATTCATTACTTGCGAGCACCTCCGACAGTGCTCTGCATGCCTGAACTGTACTGAAATACCAATTTGTAAATTTAACAAAATGCAATTGAACATGGGAACGGTTATTCCTACAATTATCATATTTCAAAAGCAATCTACGTTTTCATCCTTCAAGCATGTTAACTGTATCAAATTTTAATAGCCCTGTTAATTGTTTTTGTAATAATGTGAAGGTATTAATTTAAAGTCATCCATAGTACTTGAAGATTAAAATATACGATAAATCTTGTACTTTCGCGACAGTGTCCGGAATACCTCCAGAGTATATCAGCACGAACCTGTTGCCGCCTTCGATGGACAGCAAAAGCTACTCTCAGTATGGCACCTCGACGCAGGACACGAAACCAGTACTAAGCAGTCTCACATACGACTACTATTCGACAACTAAGGGTACAGGGATCAACGTGAAACCTCCGAAAACTCCGGAGGAGAGCCCTTCGTCCCGCACGAGCAAAGTGGTCCCTAAAACGGAGAATATGGCGACAAGCGGTAGTTGCTGCAGCAGTTTACCGAGCAGGGGTCAAAACACGTCGGATCTGTTGGTACCGAAGACGGAAGAAACGGCTTCTTGTAGGGTGAACTCGCCCCCTCCGCCACCTCCACCCAATGTACGACCGACATACGACTCGTATATGAATCAAGACTCGAATTCGTCGTCGATGTCCTCGATGGACGCCATGGGGTCCAGAGGGTCCATCGGCGCGACGATACATCATCCAAGTCAGCACCCAACGCACCACGTGCTGCCAATGCAACCCACGGTCGCTTATCCGATGCCAATGGTCGAGGACACTAGGATGAGTCACCAAATGTCGCAGAGGTCTCCTTACGAACCCTCGGCGATGATGGCCGCTGCGGCGGCTGCAGCTGCGGCAGCCACTTCCAGCGAGGAGCTTTATCACCACAGATCCGCGGAGCACGCGAGGGCCTACATGCACCCTGGCGCTAGTAATATCGCGCGACCTGTCGTCACCTATTCCAACGAGATCGCGAACGCGAGGGGATACGAAAACGCGGTGGCCAGTGCCGCCAATCATCGACCGTACGATCCGGGTACCACGTCAGCCTACGAGAGATACGACACACAAGGTTGCGCGCCCATTCAGTCGCAGCAACAACAGCAGCAGCAGCAACAACAGCAACTCCATTCGAGGACGAACATGTATTACCTGGGACAAACTGGAATGACACCGGAGGAACAGGAACGGGTGTACCATCAGGAGGCTGCGGTCGCGGCTCAGCAGCACCAAATGGCGATGGCCGCTGCCACGGCTGCGGGAATGATGAAGAGCGAAGATGGTAAGATTTTTCATGATAATTAAAAATTACGTTGAAATGTAAAATTAATCAAATGTAAAATATATTTTATGATTGCAGTGAAATGCGTCACAGTGGCGCAGGTGCAGCAGATGCAGAAACCTGGAGGTCCTCCAACCTCTCCTGGAGGGTCGGTGATGGACCTGTCCACTTCCAGTGTCACATCAACGAGCCCTCAGGTATTCTACTTTCTTATGTTCTTATACGATGAACCAAGAACAAGTAGTTTTTTAAAAACAATGATAATTGTTACAGGCGCCCCCATACGGCTCTAACAGTCTCAGCCCTCAATACGGCGGTGGTCAAACTGTAGGAGGGAGTCCTCAGGCAGCAGCAAGTCCCCACCTGACGGCAAGTCCTCAGGTTCCCAGTCCACAGGGACAGACCCTCGATCTCAGTGTAAACAGGCTTCACAGGTAATTAACGACTAATTTGTATCCTGCTAATTCGGAACGTTATTAACCATTTCTCGCAATCAACAGAACGTAGAAGTTCGAAATCTAATTTGATCCCTTGATTGAAATACGCGGAACAAGATTATAAACATTTTAATCCGTGAATATTTTCTCGCCAACGCAAGAAGGGTGAAACGAAGGGAGGGATATTAAACCGTACATCATGTTCATCTGATTACAGTGGCGCACCGAGTCCCCAGTATCCAACCGGCCACGGAGAAGCTGTAGCGGTTCCCGTTGGACCAGGCTTCCCAGCGCCCAGACCAATCGAGGAGCAGACCGAGCCGGTCGACTTCTCCACGGCGAACGAGCCGGTCAATTTCAGCGGGGGTCCTGGAATCAGGCCTGTACCAGGGTTCCCACCACCCGGTGTGCACGTCGCGGCGTACAGCCGAGAAAGCACCCCCGACAGCGGGGGTTCCCACTACATGGACGCCTACCGTGATCCCACTGGTGAGCTATCACTGTTTATCGCTCAACTTGGCAGATAATTCGTCATCCATCTCATAGATGCGCTTTATGACCCGCGACTATTATCTTCTCAGCTTCCTATCCTTTTCTAGTACTCAACTTAATCATTTCTTAATCATGAAAATTATTTGAATTTACTTTTCCTGATCGAGCGTTCAATTCAACTAACGACCCTGCAAACCTGTACCAAGTATTCTTGTTCCCAAATTTCATCGAATATCGTATATTTGGAATATAGAGAAAGCGCGAGCGTGTCGCTACATCGGCAGCGTGTAACAGAGGGGCGATAGGGGGTTGCAACGAGGAGGTTCATGAACGAGGAATACGGAAAAGAACAAAAAGCTCGACACCCTCGGGGTTAGGTCGATAGAGAGAGAGAGAGAGAGAGAGAGAACGATACGCGGTTACGTCGAATAAAAATTCGCCAGAACAGTACATGACTGCCATAATAGGTACCTATGGCCCGGCTCTTTTTTTCCTCGGTCTCTCTGTACTTTGCCATTCCAAACCTGTAGTCCATTCTTTTCCTCCCTGTCGGCACCTCTGCCTCGCCCCAGCTCGTCTCCGTCCCCTCTTCTCATCCTCTTTCGCAGCCTGGATATGCAACGACACCCTTCCTAACGGACCACCACCCTGTGGCGGTACACGACCATTGTTAATTATCAATATTTCGCGTACACGTAGCCGGCAAAAGTCCGGTGCGGCCAATATTGTGCAGACTCGCTGGGGAGTAGTTATTGAAATTGAAACATTCGAGCACACAGCCACCGTGTGTTCGTTCGTTCACTCGACGTCGTCGTGTTCGCGCGACGTCGCACAGGCCCTTCTAGTCCGTTGGCTATTTGCACGGCCAGACAAAATGAATTCTTGCTGGTAAATAAATGCGTAGGTTTTACAACGGTTAATCAAACGACGCGACGGTTTGGATGCTCTGCGCCGAACCTTTGTCCAGCTTTTAGTTCGGTTCTTCTTTTTTCTTTTTTTTTTTTTCTAAAACGACAGGGACGTTTCTTTATTTACTTGGTTATCGTGTACAGATGGGAGGAGATCACAGGGAATTTATGAATAGGTTCTTCACAAAGGGGTGCATTGTCATGCGTGTCCTCTACTTCAGTTGTTCACAGTGCTCTAGTTTTTGCGCTATTGAAACATTTCTCTTTCGTGCATTTCATTCGGGATATTTGTTCCGGATGAAATGTAGGTTTTGAAATCAACTTTATTGCTTTTTGTTCTTAGTACAATTTTCGTTTCATTTGATACTATAACGATAGAATGTGTTTTGTTTCCAGGTTATGGACCAATGAGCCCCCATCCGGGATACGGGATGACAGGTGTTCAGCCTGAATATCCAGCGAACACTTACACCCCTTACCCCACTGCGGGATACAACTGCGGTGGAACTTATCCAGGTGGCCCTGTGACTTCCGGGTACCAAATCCCAGCAGGTTACACGCCGACACCCTGTTACAGTATGCCACCCCCACAGCACACGGTTGGACCTCTCGATAAACCCACGGGTAAAGACGATAGGTAAGGGATTCGACAAATTCTTATTTTCTATAATAATATTAATTTCGCGATCGTCGAGAAAGGTATGACGTTTCTGGTTCATTGGAAATTTATCGTTTCGTTTATTATAAAAGTAAAATAAAAAATTCCAAGTTATCTAAATATTTAATATTATCTGAGAATTTACGTATATCAAATTGAAAAATTCAATTTGAAAAAAGGGATATCAAATATTTTTCCGAGTTTCGAAAATTGAAGCAAGTATTACTGAGAATTTCTAAAATTATCGCTTAATAAATTATGAAAATAGACTTAGGAAATGGATACAGTTTATACAAATCCCTATTTAAAATGAAGTAGTATAAGAAAGTTTTTAATCAGACGACAGTGAATCGTAAGAAATCTAATGAATCCACGGTATCCAATGAGCCGGACAAACGTCGACGTGCAATTATCGTGGATGCGAGCATCGCAGATTTGGTACTTGCCTTGCGGAAAGGGTCGCGCGAATCTCTCTCGCGATATATGTATGTATTCGCGGCCGAAAAGGCACGGAGGCAACAGCGCAGCGACGGCGACTAAAGTTGGCGTGGAGGGAGGCGGAGATCGCGCATACCTACCTCCATTTTGTTAATTAAAGTAATTACTCTTCGTACCGAAAGTGCCAACCTTATTCTAATTGACGTAAAGCTCGGCGGTATGGTGGAGAAGGCGCGGTTCGGAAGGCGCATAAGGAGAGGAGGTGAAACGAGGGTGTGGGTGGCGGTGAGCTGCCAAGGGTGGATAAGGTCGAGGGAGAAGGTGGAGTATAATCAGTTGCCACCGCACTGGATTATGGGGCGAGATCCGCGTCGTCCCATCGAGGTTAGACCCTTGAAATGCACCTCGGATACTTCAGGCAAAACTGGTCCCTTCTCTTTTCTAATCTCCGTCTATCCTGAAATTTCATACGCTCGTTCGGGCGTGTTGCCGAGATTCTTCTACCAAGTACTTTCATTTTCTTTTACATTCCAAAAAATAATAATTCTATGCTTCAAAACTAAGCTGATAACAACGATTTGATAATCCAAAAGCGAAACAATAGAAAATCTTTAAAATCCGCAGGAATAATTAATCATTAATCGTTAATAGGATGAATACCAGGATATTAAATTTACTTCACTTCGACTTAGAAAAGCAATAAAAAAAGCGCCTAACCATTCGATACCCATTCTCAAGATCAATCAACCGACCCTTACTCGCTAAATCTCCATTTAACGATGAACGAATGATTGGATCCGATAAAGAACGGGTGAGGGACAACGCGATAGCGTGACTTATCATCTGTCCATAAGGTAGAGGAAAGTGGTTAGACGGTGGTTGGTAAAATACGGAAGGTAGAGCATTCGGGGGCGTAGCGTTGAATTGCACTCAAGTCTGGATCCGTCGGCTCGGTTGCCGGCAATATCGTGGCTACTCAAGGGTCATCGAGGTTTTCGAGGCTTCTCATAGCCCACGGTAGTTGGTTCATCTACGAGACTACCAGGAGACGAGAGAAAAAACCCGAAGCAAACTGCTCTCGTGCTCTGATCCGCGTATATTCCTTCGGCCTCTTCCTCATCCTGCTGCCGTTGCCCGCTGCGCCTCTTCCTGTTCTTTCTCCACCAGTCGGCCGAACTTTCGCGATTTTTTTTTTCGCTCTCATATGTCGCTAACACGCCCACCATCGTACACGCCCGCAATCCTCCCTCTCGTCGCGAGAAGGAAAAGTTACGAAGCGCAATAAAACTTTTCGTTGCTATCCAGCTTTGTTACGTTTGCATCGCGGTTACATTCGTACCTTGGATGTCCATTAAATCGGCGCTTTCTCGTTATTAGAAAATCGTATACGAAAGAAAAGTACACAGCTAAGAGGTACGGCTTGATCGTCGTTGAATCATTCGTCATCGGTCATCCACTGTACGACGTCGCCGGGCAAACGGATAGTTAGCCGGTGTATTGATTAGGTGAAGGCATACGAGAGACGAGCAATCGCGTTGAGATTGTCTTATTGTTGATGTTGTTCGGTGCAGTATGAATATGAGACGGCACTCGTTGAATTTCGTGCCTCGGCCCGCCCCTCGTGGTCGCGATGGCAAGGAGCTGATACAGTGCCCCACGTCGTCCTGTGATGGCATGGGTCATGTCTCGGGAAACTACGCTACCCACAGAAGGCAAGGCTACATTGACAATTGACACTGACATTTAACATTTGCCGACTACATCCGATTGTGTATATTTATTGATATATTGGTATAGCGATGCAGCACGCACGCACGCACGCTGAATACATCATACACAGACACACGTACCACATAAATACACTTACATAAGGAAACATACACGCGGTACAAGATGTTCCCCTGGATATCCTGTTTACGTCGGTCCAAAAGCAGATTCCTCGAGTAGTTTGATCCCAGTTTGGAAACTCGGTCCTACGGAACAACACACGTCGAGTCGTACACGATGACATCTCGGTACATTCGGAACGATGTCACGATATTCTGAGAAAACATAGATGGATCCATGGCGTAGTGGCTTCTTAAGTGTTTTGTGACACTGATCGTTTATATAGAATAACCTCCTCCTCCTCCTCCTCCTCCTCCTCCTTCGTTTTCCTGGCTGAACCAGTCTTGTACCTATCTCGATATTGTTGTATATCTATATTATTATAATATTACGTGTGACTATCCGTTGGTATAACTAGTTATTTGCGTATTGAGCGTAACGTTTTTTAATTCTATTATTTTATCACACGGTCTGTTCTATCATTTATTCCACCTTTCTCTTTGTGTACCTTTATCTATATACACCCAATCCCACTTCTTGTTGCGCTATCCTACGATATATTATTATCAAAGTGTGTAGATGAGTTTCGTGTTGAATGAAGTACCACTTGATCCTTATTTTCGACCCGACCCCTACGAAAAGGGATGACAAAATCATAGCGACGAATCGTGATGATAGACGAATACTCGCGGGTCTACGTGTGCTTCCACCAATTCTCGGATGTTAATGATATTCATTTTCGTACGCATTACGAAATATGTATACGTTCACCGAAACCCGCCCGTTTAAGAAACGCTTCGCCAGCCTCGTGTGGGCAGCTTCGTAGCGAACTGTTGCCAATGAACCATGTCAGAGCAGAATCGTATTTAAGAGAGTTCGTGAATGACGGGAAGAGGACCGTTCGATCGTTTAAATACCAGAACGGAGACAATGACAAATTGGCAATTGACGAGTTTCACTGGGGTCAGGTATGAGTGTGCTCCCTGCTCTCCCTTTCAGTGTTCCTAGGCTAAGGCTAACCTTGTATTTACACGAACCTGAAACGCGATCGATCGTACGAGCGACACCTCATGAGTGATCCAACTGGAACACGGCGTTGCCATTTGCATGCTACCACATTGTATTATATTATACATCGTTGATTGCCCGTTTCAACTGTGCGTCTACCATTCACCTGCTTAGAAAACGATATGTCCGTAAATCATCCTCGAGAGAGAAAAAGCATCCCTGTCGAATGTCTTCGTTCGAACCGGACGCAAGGCAAGTCGTCCAACAATAAATTTGTTGCAGTTAGGTTGATCTTTGTAAAAATAGTTTTTTAAACCTGTGTTAGCAATCTGTGAAGATGATCTCGACGAGGTGGACAAAATTCAAATTTATATATAAAATACACTTTCGGTCTCGTCGAGATCATCGGTACCCGATTTCGAACGTAAGTACTCGAGACTTCTTGGCAACGTCGCGTAAATTGCATGCGATGTGTTGCTGAAGCCATCGTTGGATGTTCCTGAGGTGTGCGTTCGTGATCCTGACCATGAGGATTGATGCGCTACTTCTTCAATCGACGAATGATTCAATTTATCAACTTAATTTGTAAAGCAGCGCTGAATCGTCATGGTATATTTCGGAACGGATTTAAACATCAGAAACGTTTCTCTCCTTTGCAGTCTGTCCGGTTGTCCGCGAGCCGATCGCTCCCAGATTCAGGCGCATTCGCAAGAACTGAAGTGCCCTACGCCTGGGTGCGATGGATCGGGTCATGTGACCGGAAACTACTCGTCTCACAGAAGTTTATCTGGCTGTCCACGGGCTAATAAACCGAAGAGCAAGCCACGAGATGGACAGGACTCTGAACCATTGAGGTTTGTCATTATTCATATTATCCTTTTCTGAAGGTACGTATTCATTAGAGGAACAAAGAGTAAAAATTCATTACAAATGTAAAATTACTGGAAGTAATTCAATAATGGGCGACATTCTGTTTCGTAATTAAAATGTTCGAAATGAATGTTTTTAGTGAAGACTTGGTTACTTGTTTCTGGCAGCTTTTAGTAATAAAGGGTTCCTCAATGTTCCTTTGATGGATATATACTTTTATAAAGGAAAATCATGCTTTTTTATCTCTATCGCTTCAGGCTTCAACAAAAGCTTCTAATTTTATTAACCTTGAAAAAAAAAGAAACGAATTATTCAGAATTTATTAAATATTAACGTAAACTAATTTGCATAAAGATCCACAGTCTAGATATCAGCATGATAAACTCCTTTAAATCTTATCTTGGGTAGAGAGGATTAATCTAGAGAATCTCCGGTCTCTTGCAAGCTCTGCAACTTGTTGTGCTTCTCGTAATCGCGATCTCGATTTGCGTTTTCACCGCGTTCGCACGTTGCACGCAACTACGTGGATATCTTCCTGACCGCATTGCACGTACCAAGATCTTGCGGTATACTGAAAAGGGTAAACCCATCCCTTTCTCAGCCGTATCCCTTAAACTCCGTCCGCTTGGTAAATGCAAAGGCGAAGACGCTGACTAATAACCGGCGGTTTCCGCTCGTTTCATGCTCACTCTGTGTGGATGGATTGTATGGTGATGGTAATGGTGGTGTTGGCATTTCGGGCTGCAGATGTCCAATCCCCGGTTGCGACGGGTCTGGTCATGCTACCGGCAAATTCTTGTCGCATCGCAGGTAAGACTTTCTGACAGTTTATCGTGGAAAATTTCATTTTATTTAACCCCGTTATCCTGAGATGAAAAATTTTAAATTTGGTAGAATCATAATTTAAAATAGCAGTAAAATAAATTGTAACAGTAAATTTCAATTTATAATTACTACATAGCAGATAAAATAAAAAATAAAAATTTATGTGTCTCTGACTGTTAAAGTGTTAATAAAACTAATTAAGGTATTCATAAAATATTTAATCAATTTCAGAATACATTTTTAATTAAAATTTTTGGATATTACAAGCTGCAAATATAAGAGAATCATTTATTTATTTGTGTCAGTGATTCGCTACAGTGCGATAGAAAAAGCTGACGAGAGTCTAATTGCAATCACAACGACCTGTTGCAGCGCTTCCGGCTGCCCCATCGCCAACAGGAACAAGACGCGAGTGCTAGAGTCCGGTGGCACGATCGAGCAGCACAAAGCAGCGGTTGCTGCGGCGACGGCAATGAAATTCGAAGGTGTCAACTGTCCCACGCCTGGCTGTGACGGGATCGGCCACATAAACGGTTCATTCTCCACTCACAGATCTCTGTCCGGTTGTCCGATAGCCGGACACGCGGTGAAGAAGCCCAAGTTCGAGGATATGTCGAGCATGTACAGCAAAGGAATCACCGGTGAGGATCAAGCTGCCTCTGGTGTCATTGACGTCTTCGATTATCGATGCGCACCATTCCTAATCGAGGAATAAAAGAAAAAAAAAAAAAAGAAAGAAAGAAACCGCGGTTTGCTCTTCGTGAAACGAGTCGAAATCTTACGAGTTCGAAGTCCAAGCAAATTCGTGACTCCATTCACGCTGAGTTAAGGACCTGATTGTGCGACATGTGATTGCCTACGTGAAACGAGATGAAAAGAAAAAAATTCGTAGAGTAGGCATGATCATTCGAAATTACCTTTTATTCTTTTCTGTGCTTCCATGTCGTACTCGTCCAAGTGCAATTTTATTCGATTCAAATTGATTGATAGTGGACGTAACATAAGGGTGCATTATTGCAACATGGACGAGTCGATGGCAAAATACCGTGACAAAATTATGAATCCTGATTTGTAAACTTGTACATATAATGATCCTGTGCTATGCCATACTCTACTCTTCACGCAATGATGTGCTGTCATACCAACAAGGGTAACCTTGTCCTTCCTACATCCTTTCTTCTGTCTTACCCGTAAATTCAGTTGTTTTTTTGGTCGTTTCTACTTAAATGTTACGTTACGTTACGTTCTCGCTCTCCCTTTCTTCTCTAAATACATTGGTATCCAGGTGTTTTCGAATTTGTCACACCACGGTGATTCGATGATACGAAACGTTCGTTGACCAGCACTGAAACAAAAAAAAAAACAGCTAAGAATAAGAAAGAAAAAAAAAACACGAAGGAAAATCACCTGAACCGGACACCTCGACTTCCATTGTGTCACTTTGCTTCTTCCAATAACGAATCTGGCCCCCGCGGAATCCTATTCCCACATGATTATGTGCAAGAACAAAGAACGAAAGAAAATAACAGAAAGCAAAAGAAATGTATGCAAAAGAAAAAAAAAATTACCCAAGATACAAAAAACAACCGTATGTCATAATAATGAAAAATAATATATTCTGATTTATTCTGGGATCACGATCAGCTCCTTTCCTGTCATTGAGCTTTGAGGAGAACATTTACTTTTGAAGGTAAGGGACTGACGTACTCGCCATTTGTTTTCTATGTGTTTTCGGTGTTACATACAAAATCCACACACCAGTAATTTTACTTTTACGAGATGATGCCCGAGTGTTGGCAGCACCGGTGAGACAGCTGTGGCCACAGCTCTAATTGAAATTTTCAATGTATATTTTCTAACGAATTTTCACGAATTACGATGATACGGTACACGCGAAGGCCAACACTCGGCGTCTCCCATTTTTTTCTTCTATCTGGTATGATGGCACCTCACGCTACCCCAGTCACCCTCTAACATCGTCCCAGATCATTTTTTCTATTCCTGCGGCACTCCTGTCTGGTTCGTGCGGTATATCAATGAGCTATGTCGTCTTGATATCAAAGTTTTTCAATCGTATCTACGAGATGATTTTCCATCACTTGAGCACGAACCGTTCGCAGGCGGAACCGTACCGATCCCACATTTCAGACAAATCCTAATGCAGCGACTTGGGATACATTGATAATTGCCAATCGAGCGTTAAAATAACGCGATAGACTAGACAAAACAGTGACGATGCACTTGTTCTCTGACACGTTTCCCCCAACGGGCCAACCCAAATCGCTGTCCGAAGCTTTCCTCTTTTGGCGCTACTTACATGCTCGCCACATTTTTCACATTTTTATTCTATATGAATCCCGCACACCTCTGTCAAAAATACGTGCTAGTACATTTTTATCTTTGTAACATCGAGTCGCTTAAGTACGATAGAGAGACAGAGCTCTTAACGAGCTTCGGTCAATGATTGGGTTGAAGGACCTTGGCTTCTGACGGTTTCCCTGAAAATCAGTCGTGTTCTCGAGATGTTTCGAAATTTCAATTTATATGATACCTCTGCTGAACGAAGCAGCAGGGCTAATTATGTCTCGAGAGCTGGCTATTAAATGAGGAAGCTGTTAGAAATCGGGAAACAATAAGCCCAAAGTGACAGAGACAGCCTGTTAAAGTGGACCGTCTATGTCGTATCTTCAGGGGTGGACACCAGTGGTCCGGCTCACGGGGGTGCGGTGGGTACGGGTCAGGGTAACACGAGTGGTAGCGGTACCGCCACTGGCCAGAGCGAGGATCTCTACACACTGGAGGCTGAGATAACGGAACTCCAGAGAGAGAACGCTCGGGTCGAATCGCAGGTGCTGCGCTTGCGCTCCGATATCACCGCCATGGAAAACCAGCTGAAGCAAGGAGAAAAGGTCAGTCAGTACCCCTCTACTCAGTCGGTAATCGATTATTACCGTATGCTGATAGAACAGGCCGTGAAATTTTCCAACACTAACTACGTAGAATGCTGCTAAATTTGGGCTAAAACGGATGGAAACAACCATTTTTTCAAATTCTCCTTCAAATGCACATGTAATTCAAATTGGACGTTTAAGCATAACCCTAGAACAGGTAAAGTTTTAGCTCAGATTAATGCAAAAATAGATTTTTGTCTCTAATAATCATCCCTACCTGTTGTTGCTAACGTAGACCAGTGCCACCCCATTTGAATCCCATCTATTTTCACCCCATTTTCTTTTTCATTGTATCATCCTTACGAAATGCATGTTTTTCAACGTAACTCGATGTTTATAATAATAGGTTCGCCTTTTTGTTGCAGGAAACAACATCGATTGCTCAGCGCAACAACAACCTGACCGAGTACTATCAGTCGCTGCGCGATAACATGATAACGCTGTTGGAGCACGTGCGAATACCGAACGCCCCAGGCGGACCACAGGAGAAGATGGGCCACGAGAATTTCGACAGTTACCTGACGAAGTTACAAACCCTCTGCACCGCGGATGGTTATTGCGCGGACGAAGGGAACAGGCCGATTTACGAGACGGTGAAGACCGCGCTACAGGACTTCACCGTCCTACCGACACCCATCTGAGACCATCCCTAAAGCTCGACGATCGGATATGACGTAACTTGGTCGCGTTTCACCCAGTGACTTATCGTTTTGACGAAATAATGAAAGCATGATAAGACACCGGAAGTTCGCGTGGTTACTCATTGAAAAGACACTGTGCGACGAACATTGAACGCGACTCGTGTGTCGTTAAACGATACCGGAAAAAAAAAAGAAATGAAACAAAGACGTTCCCCGTCGATGAACATTCCATTCTACCTCTCCTGGGTAGATGAATCAATAGACGTTGCTCTTTAACGAATATCATCGGGTGATCTGCTCGTGTACCAAACGAGAATGGTGCTTTTTACCAGCGTTGGTGGGGTTGGACACGTTGGACGGTTGTATAGACTGTTAGTAAATGTTACAACGGTATCTAAGGTATCCTCTGACGATCCATTCAGTGTGATCTCGCGGATCCGTGCGGACTGATGTTGCTCATAGCGATTTTGTACATACGGAACCTATACTACGTAAGTATTATAAAAAAAGATCGGTCTGCGTGAATCGCGTGCCGATCTATCATCGTGAATTGTAAATAAAACATGAGAGAAAGCATTTATATATATATACATATATATATAAATATTATTCGACGAAAGCGTTAATGTGGTTATCACTTATAATTAAGGCATGTAAAGAAAGGGATAAAGAGTAAATGACAAGAACGTCAAAGGGAAAATGAATGAGATTAGCTTACAATAGATGTATCGCTCTTACAAGTGCATAACTGTTACTAACCCGTTAAGCCATTAAACGTTAACACTACGATGATGTGAGAAGAAAAAACCGCTAAACGCTGCTTCAGCTGAAACCGACGGCTACTTAATTATAAATTACTATTGCGTACTTATTACAGCTAGATACTATTATTACTACTATCGTCACTGTTACAACCACCGAGATCGTTTCTAGAAACTAATCCAAATCGTCATTATTATTATTATGATTACGGTTATTATTGATTATTATTATTGCTACCACACTACTCTTACTACTGGACACATAGGATATTAGCGACGAGTATACCGACGCATTTATAATTATCAACGAGTCTACGAACGGTGCAACACGTTGTCCATAATGTGTAAATAGTCAGAGAGAAAATACGAATATTAATAACGAATGTGAGAGATCGAGGAAAGGAAAGTGAAATCCTTCGAATTGAAAAGGGGTGCACTTGAGATCGCTCGCGTCATTTTGTCCCATGAAAGAAACAAAGATGTCAATCGTAAACACGGTGTATTTATCGAATTTTTAGGCGTAAAGTACGTGCGGCAGGATCGACGAGTTTTATATTTAAACAGGAGAAACAATGGTTCTCGGTGTCGTCGCGAATCGTCGATCAGTCTGAACGAAGGGTACTCGTTCGTTTGTGCAATAGCTTCGAAGGAACTCGTTTATTTTGTTGAATTAATTTATTAAGGTGATGATACGCAAATTGTTACGGTTCTGTTATCGCATTTACGTATTTATTGTACATGTTTTTATTGAATGTAAATATCGATATCGTTGAGAAACGAAGAGATATCTTCTGCCTCTTTGACGGTTCACCGTTGCTGGCTCGACGAAGGAGATAAATTTGACAATACGCGTCGTTCGAATCGGCAAATCAAACGCTTTTGATCCATTCCAGTGGCATCGATAAGTATACGACGTGTAGCAATTTCTCGCGACGAATAATCATTTGCCGTTGTCGGCTAACAAATTTTCAAGTGGAATGCTAGTCGAATAAAATGTAGAAAGTCCATGAGACGACGGTAAGAGGCAAAGATATTGGCATCGCAGTGCTTATTATTTTGCAGACTGAACTCATTTCGTCGCAATAGGAACAATGTACATAAGAGAGGGAGATTAAACACGGAAGACGAATGGTAATAGAGAGAAATCAATTATTTCGTCTGTTCGATAAAAGATGCGACGATAGATGAAGAGAAAGAAGGGCTATACCTTTAACCAAAAAAAAAAAAAACCACCGTGTAGTGAGAGTAATAATAAATTAAAGTATAGCGATAGTCGGCCGACGATTAACGATTAATCTCGACGTTATCATTATTCTTGTCATTGTCATTATCATTACGATTATGGTTACCATCATCGTCACTGTGATTAGATCTATTTTTTTGCTCAACACGAATACTTGGCGGCGAGAAAACCGGGTAAAGAGGGTAATCGACGATTAACATGCGCCCGTTTTTCTTCAACGTTACCATGATATTTTATTGCTATTATTGCCATTATTACCACTATCGTCGTTACGTTCTCGTCATTATTACAATTATTATTGTTGCCGTTGATAAAGTTGTACGAATATATAAGTTCAATGACATGCTTTAAGTAAGTATAAATGTTACTCCGATTGAATAAAGGGTATTTATCGATGAATCATGATTTTCTCCCTTTTAGGACAAAAATGAGGATTCTGATGATTATCTTTTGAATTGAATTTAATTAACAATCATGGCTTGCTTTCGTTCCTCTGGAATTAATTTTCAAAGAATAATTTATTTTCGAGCCATTTTCGTGACATTACAATTTCTTTGCAATTTTAATGCCTGTAGGGTAATTTTTATACGGAAACCATCCTTCACTAATATTTCAAGATAACTCTTATAAAATCATTATGTTGATGAAAAAGGTAGGGTAAAAGGATCTAGACAAATTTAAAAGATGCCTATTATTTTATTTGCATTTTCATTATAAAAAAAGTCTTATTTCAGAAAGCGACGTCGTACTCGACGGTGACGTATCAATATAATACCTGCATCATCGTATATATCACAATAAAATGGACGTGCGAATAAGTTTCGCATGCGGTATGTACACGTGTAAAATGATAATCATTGAAATCATATGGCAAACAAAGGTATCTCTTCTAATAAGCTGCACGATTGTTTAAGCGATGACACTCGGAAGGTATTCAATTCTGATTCTTAGGAATCTTATATATCTTCTTCCGCTTATTTCCCTCCATTCAAGATCTTCTTAAATTCGTAAGGAATCCGCTTAGAACGCATACAAACACAGAAATTATTTTGCACTGTCAAAGGCAAAATAATATACATCATGTGCCCGTTTATCGATGATCCGTGTTTGCTATTTTAGACTCGCTCTAAATTAGCCAGACGAAATCGATAATCGTGTACCATACGGATTTATCGATAAGCTTCGTTTCAATTGTCGACAGTTCTGGAACTCCTTATCGTGAGTATTTCGATGTTAGGCTCGTGGCTTGAAGCTCTATATAGAAGGCACCATGTTCATCTTGTTCCCTTTCATCTTCTTCCATCTTCGATTTCTTATCAAATTCGTTATCTACCTCTTAAGCTTATCACCTATCAACATACTGACTTTTAACGCTGCATACTCTTCGTTTCGATCGTGCGATTGGATATGTATATTCGGTGACTAAAAAGTCCTTCTCGGATCAGTTCGATTCTTTGAACACAAATGATTTTTAGTCTATTTAGACGAGAAAATTCTTGTCCTGCTCTTTCTGCTCAATTCCATCGTTGGCCATCTCATGGCAACCGAAAGAAATGACGAAGTCGTTTCACCCACATCATGGTTTTTGTACTTGCTTGGTTTTTACTTATGTTGCAATACGCTGAAACATCAGCACGCCGCAAACTTCTTTGTTGCGATCATGATTGCCAATACCGAGGATCTCTCACCTGGAATAAAATAGAAAATTATATTAGCAAACGGCACTTTGGAGATTACAGGCGATTAGAAAAGATAGAAAAGAAAATTAAATAGCATTATTGAGAGCCTTTTGAAAATTAATAAATGGCACCCTTCATAATCAAAATTTCCAACATGTCTTCCTACACATATACACTACTCTAGCCAATGCATTGAATTCAAGCTATCATCTTATCTATCGCATCACCTGACGTCATAGAGGTCTATAAACCAATCCATGACGTGATACTCGATAGAATGAAAGACTTCAGAATTTCTCCTACGTATAGGGTGTTGCGTGTTTCCTTAACGCCTCCATCATGATCTGGCGAATCGCGACCAGATCCGACGTTTCTCACGAACGATACAAAACCCTAAAGTCGACCATTATTCTTTTTATACTTCTACCAAGAACTAACCTACGTCACAGTGACGATCAAGATTTCATTCATCGCGAAAGAAAATAGCAAACGAATGAAAATGTTACCTCGCATACGGTGGCGGCGGTGACGGTGTCGGCTCCCTAGAAACAATTTCCACGGTTCTAGGAACCATGTTGTGCACAGTTGGCAGCGATAACGTAGATAACGTGTTAAGCCTAAGTAGGTGACTAGGATTTAACTTGATAGCGTCATCGTAGCTGGGTGGCGCATCCGTGACCGCTTCGTAGTCTGGCGGTTTCTGTCTGGATCCACTAGATGGTTCCTCGATGGAAATTACATGAATCGGACGTTCGATCTGTAACAAAAAGAATTATTGTCTGAATTATCGGACACGAAGGTAGAGGATAACAGTGAAACTTAATGCTACATCCTCACTGAAGGAACAACAGGAAATCGATTTTTGTCTGATTTTTAAAGCGACCACTTACGTGCCCACTTTTATCGTACTACTTCACCGTCGCATTACAATCAACCATAAGGATATTAACCCCGAAATGGTTAATCTTCTATATATATCGTGGGTCGTCTATAGATATCTATCTACGTGTTCGCCTCCCACTCTTTAGTAACGTTGTAGCTGGTGATATCTAAGTCACGAAAGGGTGCGTTTGCCAGGGGGTTACTCACGAGAAATACAAATACTGAAAATAGCTCGTTCGAGGCTACAAAGAAAGTTTCGCAGAAAATTGCATAATAGTTTCGACCGATTGATTCGCAAGGTGAATGACTGAGAGTCAACGCTCGTTCTTTTGACCAAATTTGTCATTACTTTTTGCGGCATTACTGTGCAGATTATGAAATCAGAAGCTTTCCATCAGACTTAGACTCTTTCAATCAAAAAACCTTTTTTTGGAATTTCATACTTCCCTTGATGTTATTCACTGGATATTTTTATTCTGTGCACAAAATGATTAAGGTACTTGGATCGAAAATTGACTAATTCAAAAGATATTTTAGGGAGAGACAAAAGCTCCATCAAATTGAAAAAGTTTTTTTTGAAAATTTTGAACTTTGCTTGACGTTAAATCCTGCGTCTTGTTATTCTTTACAAAAGAGTATTAAAGCACTTGGGTCGAAAATTCATTAGTTCAGAAGATATCTTAGGGAGAGACAGGAAGGGACTAGCGGTCTCTCCCTAAGATATTTTTTTAGCCATTTATTTTTCGACCCAAGGACCTTGATATTTGTTTAAAGTGAATAAAAATACGCTTCGATTGATGTATAGCACGATACACAATTCCACTTGGACTATTTTAGAGGTGTAACTTGACCCAGTAACACGGGACACCCTGTGTATGTACCATATGGTTAATTTCTTTTTACATACTCTAATATGCTATAAATGCATAAGAGTCCGCAGGCAAGTATCTAATTACAAAGCTATAATACCCTTGGTATTCCATAACATCACAATGTATACCCTATTCTTTTTTATCCTACCGATTTCTACGCGACTTAAAAACTAAAATTAGCATGCTATATCCTGCCCTTGCATACGTGTCAATTGCGACTCTGGTACGTAAAGATGTAGCAGAGGATGGTTACCGATAAATATAGATACGTACTTCCGGGTGAATATCCTTTCGCGAATAGATAAGTGCATTGTAACTACCAGCGACCTGCTTTATGCACCGAGCCGCAGACGGACCTTTGTATTTCTATTATTTCCATGCACGCTACGAAAGGAGGAACGTTTGCTATTCTAAGTCGCGTCTCTACACTACTCCTACATACAATTTTAGAGCAAAAAAGAAAAATAACAGGGTGACAGCTTTCGTTTGTCTAGGCATGATGCAAGCATACGTACATGTAATGAAGAAAGAACAAAGGTGTACTTTGCGAATCGGAATGCGATAGAATCGCAGGAAGATGAGAGAAAACGTGCCATAATGCTCGTAGATAATCAGGAGCTTGATCTACCAGGCCCAGGATATCCGCGAAAAAACCACGACATGATGCAACATGTCTGGTGCCACTGGAACGATGAATCATGAGATTCGATGATTTCATTGATCAAACGTTTTTGTGTTAATCCTTTGATGTCATTGATACATTGAGTACCACGTGAACTTTAAGTTTCAAAAGAAAATCGAAAAAAAAGTGAATTCCAATGCTTAATTACACAAAATTACCATTTTTCTATATTCCTTATTCTAATACCTCTTTTTCTTTTAATTACAGGATGCGCTTTTGCTGGAAATCTTTATACGGCAACGAAGATCGACCAGAAACTGATACTGATCGAGGTATATTATTTTCATCTGACAGCATGTTTACAAATGCTGGTAATTGCGGCCGTGTAGTATACGTATGTAACAGTACACTGTAGGGTTTGCGGTCTATAAAAGGGGGTTGACCTGGATCGATCTAAAAATGCTACAATCCTCGAGGCTTCAATCAAGAAGAACGTTTGGAAACCCTTAAACCGAGGCGAATGTTTGCTGCATTTTATCGGGAAGGTAAATGCATTAACAGGTAGAATGAAGTCACTTACTTTAATTAGTTTTAGTAGTTGGTATAGGTTGTTCTGAGAGAAGCGGTTATACGAGCTTCTAATTATAGAACAGCATTAATGAAAATTTTTACTTCAAAGTTTCTTGTAGTTGTATTAAAAATTAATATGTTAACTGAGATGGATGTCATCGACAAATGGTATCATAAATTACATTGATAATATAGATTGAAAACTTTAATTAAAACACGAAATAATTATACCTTCAGTAATGATATACATACATATTAGGGTGCTATTAACGTTAATGAAGATAAAAATGATTTGCCTCATTATCTTGTACAATTCCAAATTGAGTTATAATGCTGCTTAAGATATTTATAAAATAAACGAATTGATTGCAAAATATTATTCCAGTCATTTTTAATTTAAAAATGAATTAAATGTAACACGAAATACAGGTATCATTATTTATTTGTGTCACTATATCATTATGAACGCCGCAAGATACTATCAAAAAATAAATACCCGCATGACAAACGAAAAATTTGACTGTTTTTATATCAGACTGAGAAATGATTGTTTTGAGATTACAAACATTTCAATACGAAATTTTATGACATCTATCTTATTTGCTGAACTTATTATTTCCTGATTATCAATTTTGCAAACAGATTATTCTTTTAGCAAAGAAATTTCAACTGGAAACTTATTTTTCAAAAGTCATAGTAACTCCGATTATTATTGAAACAATCGTTATCGTCAATGGTATTCGCGCAGCGTTTATCAGCACTATATTGTATTTATACATAGAATGGAAAAATATTCAAATTGAAGTAGCAATTAGGAAGGAGTAATTTTAAAGGAATCCAATTAATTTGTACACTTAATATTTTTCCGTGACGCGAGTAAACAATAAGGAAGTAATTTTAGAAAACATTTATTTACTCATTCGTTTTAAATTCCCTACACAACTAAGCGACGGATAATCCCAATAACTCCCTCTAATTTTATTCTTCATATGAAACACGGATTAATTGCATCTTCCGCGAAAACATCTAGCCAAGCCTGTATGCTATTATCTATGTTTCTCGTATCATCTTCCTCTTTGACGACATACTCTTCAGTTTAACTTTCCTCTCCGATATTAAAGATTGAATTTCAGAAAATTTTCGCGCATCACCTGGTATCTAACGATTAACTTCTATATCGCAAATATATCATTATATAATCTCTCTTAAAAGTCTGTTTTGTATAGAAAACAGATTAATCTCTCACTCTTATATGAGTGACACGAAGATAACAACCCTTAACTTTAAAATGTTTTTTCTCGATAACTATTTAAAACATTTGAATGAGTCAAAAAGCAAATAGTAATATTATTGATATTAGAAAAAAAGTAATTTAATTTTGGGGGTGATTTGTGCAAACAACCCTTAAGTGACAGCCACGAAAAATATTTAGAATAACACCTCGCTACGTAAATATTATTTGTAAAAATTTCAGGAAGATCAAATTGGTGGAACATAGTTAAAAAATAATATCTTTTTGCAGGGTGCAGAACGCGTATTGATGCCATTAGACGATGTACCTGTCTTATCGGTCTGCGACACCATCAGCGAACTATTTACCGTTGCCAGAGCTTAGAAAAAAAAAAAAATTAAACGAAGACTTACCTCTGCTGTGATCGGATGGTTCGTGTGTTGTGTATGCATGGTTGCCCCACTTGGTGGTGCATGCAGCCAACAACACATTGCAGCACATATTAGAAGAGCTCCAGCGATTATGCAAGCAACACCGACATATCGTACCGGTTCAACGTAATTCTCCGCCAGGCCCAACCAGTTTATCAGCGCCCCGACGCAAAGGAGAACCATCCCGTACCTGTACGGTCGTTGTGAACGCCTCGATTCTTCCAAAGACATTGCTGAAATCATAAATGAAGAACAATGTTGCAACTTTATTTCATCGAACTTTCATTGTTACTGTTAGTTTTGAAGAAGTTCCATTGAATGCCACACGAGTCACGTTAATATAATTAAATAATTGATAGAATTGATTCAGCAATTATGGCTGAATATGGAAACGGAACGGCAAAGAATTAAAACTTACAGGTTAGTGGGCAAATTGTTGCAAAATATTCCATTCTGACTTAATGATTCAAGAATTTAATTAAAAATCAAATAATCGTATTCTTAGTTATTCCTATTACAACACTTGCAGTACGACGATCAAGGAATTAATGAGACGTCTGGTGCATGCGAGCTATTAAATACATACAGGTAAGAGTGGTGGAAAAATTTCATGGAAAATCGGGACTTTCCTGGCATTGACGCAATACCAGCTGAATAATATCTTAATAATATAATTGTCATAACATATACCAGAAGTATCATCTAAGAAAAATGATTGCTTCTCAATTTTCAATAATATCTCTTCTGATAGTATACACCTGTAGGTACAATCAAGGCCTATTTTTAGACAATTTGCGGCTTCCGCGTGATGATTAAATTGACGTACGCGTAGGAAACGGCTATTCATGGCATTGGCTAGTTTTAGAAAATGCAACTATATATAACCGCGGTAAGGATATTGCCACGTATTTTATTCCAAACTGCACGGTATCGATTCGCGCGATGTACGATGACACGCGAGGAGAACTCTGAACTTGCGTTATATCTGCTTCGAGCGTTTGCAGAATTTCCTAGCAGAACGCGATTACGTGCTCTTTTTTTAGAAACAGAAAAAATTGCAGTGAATCGTAATGAACATTTTAGGTGCTGCAGTGAAAATTATTAAAATTACACGTGATATAGTACGCTATCGTTAAAGGCCTCTTTTTCTATAAAATAATATAACTGAAAATCATGCTTGTTATCTTTCTTAGATTATACCATATTTAAGTGGCAATGATATAGGGAAAGAAATTTTTTTATAAAGGCATTAAAATTTTTTTCACGATATATAACACAGACTGATACGTGGATGTTTAAAAGCATTAAGTTTCACTCAGAAGTGGAATGGTACTTGATGAATATTAACGACGTTAGGTCATTAATGTGCCCATATCTTTGATAATAAAAAGGAGAAAATCCATTTGCAAAAGTGGGTTAGTCGAACAAAGCAATTTACCATTGGGTGGTATTAGATGTGACACAGAATGAAATCGAGAATAACGCACGAATAATAAATAATAGTTTCCAAGGGAAAGATATCTGGTAGAACATGTGTTTATTTTAGCTACGTGGACATTTATCTACTGTTTGATCAAAATATCGAAGATATTATTTATAGCCCAACCAGTTTTCTTCAATTTTAATAACCTTTCAGTGTCTGGAAACAATTTTAGCCAACTTTAGCCATCTTAAATTATTCAAATATCTCTGATTAAAAATAAAACGCCTATTATAATTTCATAGAGATAGGCAAAAGATAATTAGTATCGTTAAAATATTTAAAATAAAGCAGTTTGGTTTCATAATATACGAAATTAGCTATGTGTGATAATAAATATGTGCTATAATTTATTCTAAACCTTATCAAAATCAATAATAACAATTATTTGATTTGATAAATAAGTAGCTCGATATAATCATTTCGAGACGAAGCCTCTGGCCAGTCTCTTCCAAGTAGATCGAGCGATGTGGTCGTCTTCTCGCATCAAGTGTAAGCTAGCAATCAATGGCGCTATCTTTCATGGCGTTATTTCATTATAATTTTCATTTCATGCGAATGTTTTATACTCGTGTAATGGGAAATTCATAGTATACGACAGCGGTTTCATGATGTTCTAAGTAAAAGATTCGAGGGTTAATTACAGACGATTTACAAACAAACTTCGACGTTCAGCGGCGACGAGCACAATCAACGAGGGGAACGTAAAATACACAGATATATAAATCGATCGACAACGTTTGTTTTCAATTCGAAAGAAATATTATGCTCCCACCGAGTAAAAGTCTATAAATATTCGTTCGGCAATAAGAAAAGTAGGCTACGCGAGAATGAGTATACCGCAAAGGTAGACCATCCTGACATCGGTAATCGCGCGATCGACCGATGTCGGTCCTATCTGTCTCCCATCGCATGCTATTTTAAAAGTAAGAAACGATGAAATATTAATACGTCGGTTTGCAAAAGAGGACAGCGTCCTGTGATAGGTACCAGTCACTGTTTGTTCACGAGAAACTTGAGATTTGCACGTGCAATTGCGGATAAGTGGCGTATAAAAATATCTTGGACAACATAAATACGCCGTGTGCTGTAAAAATACGAGTGTCGAAGATTAAAATATCACGCAACGCTATTTTTAATACCATATACACGAAATCAATGAAACCAATTAGAAATATCATTTGCAATTTCTTCAACTGTGTAAATATGGAGAATCGAAGAATCACATGTGTGTAAAATTAATCCTTGCTTGAGCAACATTATATTCTATGCGATTTTATGAGAATCGATACATACATGACATATTTTTGTACGAAATTAAAAATGAAGAATAATTGAAAACCGTGAAAGTTCAGTTTTTAATGTTAACACATATGACCTCGTAAGAATGTGTTTGCATGAAGAAATTTACATGTGAAAATTACATTCGATTTGAAAGAAACAGACTTTGCCCGAGGCATTATAGCTGCCCGTGTTAACCAGTCCATGGTCATAGAGTATTAAATATCGCTTTAAAAAAAATAAAACATCCTGTGTTATCAAAGAATGAAACACAGTGGAATATAACTTCCTATAACGTTATTCTATGATTCTAAGATCCTAAGTTTAAAATCTTTAAACTCCAAAAATTTGGGTTTTAAAAATTTTGTAATTCTAGAATTCCAAAATTTCCAAATTCTAATATTTTACACTGTCGATAAAGCTAAGGGACCTAGCCCACCCTAGAGAAACATCTTTATTAACGTTAATTTCCATGAATTTAGAATCTATATTTTATGAAACGAGTTGATTCAATATAATTATGACAAAGTATATGGCGAAATCAAGACCTCGATCAACGATAAAGATAGCACTCGTCAACTTCAATCACCTCCTACGGTTTTTATTATACAGTTTTACAGTAATTGCGATACATCACGATTAACAGTGTTTGATCGCATGTTAGCCACGATCTTAATGAAAGATTTAACCGAGAAATTACCATTGATCTCGTCCATATCCTAATGACACTTGTACACTCGATAGTTCGTACTTTGAATATGTGTCACGTTTCCCGGACGACTAAAATACAGACGTATCTATCCGCGGTACACAGAGTTACATCTTTATACTCTGGATTACATCTGATAACGGGACAAGAATCATAAAGATAACGGGTGGTATTTCTGAAACTCATCGTTCCCCCGTCACAAATATGTTTACTTAAACACACGCGCGATGCACGTAAAACCGACTTGTTTGGACGTGTGCTGAATGCAATTGGCCGTCTATCTCGTGCAATTTTTTCACGTTTGCACGTGCTGAAGCTTAGACAGCGGCGTGCACGAACGAAATTAATTCTGATTTACACGAGTGACATGAGAAATGGACGCGGAATGGAAGCGGAGATATCAGACGCTCTGTGATTCGCACAGAATCGTGATAAGGAAATTGGAAAGGGAAGATGTTAGAGAAAGAGTGAAATAAAATTGAAATGTATGGAAAATTCTATTTTGACGAGGAAAATCTAAATGCGGAATGACACTTGAAGGCTGTTTAATTAAAGCGCTAGTTTATGAATAAATGTTATTGCTATTCTATAGTACACTGAAGTCATAGTGATAGTAAGTGCCGAGAGATATGAAAATATTTCAATAATTTCATTCAGAAAATTAATCATCACGAACAGAAGGAAATATTGTTGGGCATTTCACTGATACTTCCATCTCGCTTTTATTTCTTTGGTAAAGGATAACCACTAACCGATAATGCGAATCTGCTATATTATTGATATATAAATGCTATAACTAAAGACATTCTAGATTCTAGAATCAATTACATACATTCATTCTAGTATACCTCACTGTATAATATACCTGCTTTAAACTATTTGCAACGGACTTGTAATTACAGCTCTTCTTTAGAAAAAATTGCAGCTAAAGATTGCAATTAACTCATGACAGAAATAAGAACAAACGTAACAGTTAAATACATATACCATCCGTATATAGATTCATTGTAAAATATGCAACTTCATTGCTTTTTTTCTTACGTAATTATGAAAATTCAACGTATTGATACTTGAATAGCGAAGGTTAAGGTAAACATCTATTCAAGGAAACAATTATATCTACTCTTCTTAATAACCGTTAACGTTTACTTCCTGATACATATCAATATTGAACATTGATAGGTTGTTATCCATTTCAAAATGCAAAACCTACCGTGATCAACATGCAATCTATTGCTTATACTTGCAAAACACTGTCAGAACATCGCCGAGCCGATGTTAATTATAATCTTCAGTCTTTTTCGATTAACATTTCATGAAACTGCGCTTGACAAGTGCCGTTTCTTTCATTGCTAAAAGAATACTCACGATAGAGGAATAACCATTCGGTTTTTTTTTTTTTAATTGCACGTATGTAATACTCGTTACGGTTGCATTCGAACAATGAGAAAAATACTGTACGTGTGAATATTCCCAAGAGTAGAATCGCGTGCGAGGTAATCAGACAACTTTTCTGTCGCGCTTTATCTTTCCTGCCGAACCGTTATTTTCGTGCCAACGTAAGCCTGCCGGCGATTTTTTAGCAACCGAAAAAAATATTTAATTAATCTTTGCTATGTTTTCGGAGGTTTCAGGAAATATTTTCAGTGGGTTTAGACTTAGAAAAATATACAAGATTCCTTCCCGATTTGTTGTCTTTCAAATTACAACGTTTTTTCCGGTGAATACGTAAAGGTTAATCGAAAGAAGTGCATGATTCATCGGAAACATATTTCGATATTGGTAGGTTTGTTTTTTGAAAACAATTCGCTGATTCAGAAATTGACAACCATGTCGGTAGCCTTCAAATTGTTCAAATTGCAAGATATCTTTGAAATGACATATGAAAAATACGTAAAGTATTCAATTATTGCAAGGAATAGAGATAACGAGCAGGGGGTGACTCTCAGATTGTATATAAATTGCAAGATAAAATTATATATTTTCCTTAAATATGTTTCCTTAAATAACTTATCAAAATTTACATAAACTGGTTATCAGTTTAATAAAACAGGCTGGAAATAAAATCGAAAGCAAATATTGTATGACTGAACCGGTCGAAGATAACGAGAGAAGGGTGCGCCTCAGATTTAACAAGTACTCCAGCCGATATT